AATTAGTAAAACAAAACGACCACCAACTTCAACATTGGATGAATATGGTAAGAAAAAAAACCTCTATAAATTCTTCTATAATATATTTCAATTCAGATACTCGACCATCATTACAAGTCGATGGTCCTGATATTCAATATTTTCTTGAAGGACAAAAGCTCGTATAACAATGTTACTTGTTGGTTAACTAATACCTGGTATAACTTGGTATCATGATGTAAGTTTTATTTATATTAATCATCTCTTTTCAATATTTTTCTTTTAGGGCGTTCCAATTCCATTTGATGATTCTCGTATAAAATTATATAATGATCGTCGTGGTTATGCTTATCTTTCAATTGATTCTACATTAGCATCTGACGAAGATGCTTACGAAACGTTGCTGAAAATAAATATGGTATCGCATGTCATACAGTTTATTTATCCCGTTCGGGACGGGAGACGCACATATGCGTCATGGACAAAGGGGAAACGACTGACTTTGGACTTTTTTGACTTAATTGACTTAAAATGACTTTTCAAGTCATAAAAGTCATGAAAGTCATTTATTTTAAAATCAATATATCTTGCTTTATTCGAACGTTACTTTCAATTCTGACATCCTTCAGCTTTGTAAACAGCGAAAACAATCATAATTTCAATATCTACTCTCATTTCTCTCATAATCCCTTGAAAACGTAGGTAAAGTTGAGTCCAGATTCGACTATTTACGAGTAGGATTCATTCAGAAACTTGTTTCAATGTTGTTATTCTTATTTCAAGTACAACTCGATGGGCTCTATTCAATGATACAATTAGATTTTTCATAACTCAAAGCATGTCTCAGAGAACCTCACAATATTGAAACTTCACTATTAGGATCTTCGAATCTACAAAATAACAACTGTTCATATTGGTCCAAGAAACTTTGACAAATTTCCTATTATTGTGCCAAGTAGAACTTCATAAGCTGTTTATAATAGTCTATTTGGATTACTAATTGTTCAAAATATATCACCAAAAATCTCAATATACTGATTAATGGTTTATGACTCACCAAGAGAATTTCCATTCCTCATATATCCGTGAAAACTCATTACAAAAGTTGATTTAGAAAACCTGGTTTCTCTCTATGTAATGTGAAACAAGCGCTGGTAAATGGTTTTCCTCAGAGGTTAGACAACATGAACCTAATCAGAGATGAAACGATATGCTTCTGTTAGCCGTTA